CATGCAGAAAATGTCAAATCATGCCAGAAACTATACAACACATCACTTCTGGTTGCAAGCTCTTGGCACAGACAGATTACTTACATAGACACAATCAAGTAGCAAATATAATTCACCAAGAGCTTGCAAAGAAACACAAATTGGTAGACATCCATGAACCATACTACAAGTATATACCACAGACAGTATTGGAAAACAGCACACACAAAATGTACTACAACAGAGCCATAATCACAGATAAAACAATTTACCACAACAGACCGGACATCACACTCATTGACAAATACAATAAAATCACATGCATTATAGACATAGCCATTCCAAACACTCAGGCCAAGACTCAACTAGCGTAAAAACAGGCGTAGAAACCTTCGCCGTAAAAACTTTTAATCACATGACCTATTTGCATTTGTGTCAGAATTGCAGTGGAGGTCCGGCTAGTGAAGTTTTCATGGCGATGGTACTATCGAAGTTATAAAGACAATGATTATATTTTACAAGTTTTTTCTGTACTATAATTACAAATGTAGTAAAAATAATATCTTTACTTTCATATATTAACTTTTATTATCGTATTATTAATTAAGATAATATACAGCACTTATTAAGCTTAGCTTTTTTCATTATATACTCCTCTAAATTGTAGGATTTTCCTTTGGCCGTCCGTATCACATGATTTAGGCATCCTTTATTATAATCGGGATACTTCTTGTCGTAGATACATGAATACTTTTGGATGTTTTCGATAAATCTTTCCAGATCTATTCTAGAGTAGCCACGAGGGAACGAACACAAAAGCTCGTTTTCCGCCATTTTCGCACTGCATCACAATGACCTAGATTTAACTGACTTTTGATTGGTGGATGGCTGTATTCGCGTCCAAAGTTGAACACTGCTCAACTCACTTTTACACTGCTTTTACGACCTGCTCAAGCGTAAAATATCAGGGCCACGTGATTAAAAGCTTTTACAGCGAGGGGTTTTTACACTACTGGAGTCTTGACTTCACAATGTACAAAACACATGCACTGAAAAAATTATCAAGTACACAGAACTTGCCCAGGAAATAAGGCATCTGTTGAGGATGGATAAGGTGCTTTTTGTACATGTCATCCTCTCCTCTACAAGTGTCATTCAACACACTATGCAAAAGCCTGGGAACATTACAATTGAATAGAAATACATACATCACACTACAGAAGGCCACTATATTGAATACATGCCATATTGTTAGGAAATTCCTGAATACAGACACACACACTGACACTTATTTAATTTTTGTCTTGTTTTGGTTGCTATGCCTTGACTCTGGTCTGGCATAGTACACTGCCACTGGTGTGAACCGAGAATAACCCACTAAACACAACGATAATAATGTTAACTTAATTCATGGTAACCTTACATCTCCCACAATCTTACATCAACAAACAGTGTTTTCATCCTCTCCGAGACTATCTTCAGGATATCGTTCCAAATACAACTTACAAACAGAGCATGTACGAAAACAGAAGCCGTAAATGCACCACAAGATTGTTTGGCTTTGAAAGATGAGAACAGTTGATGTTTTTGTCACATTTGACATCTCCAATGTCACTTCCAAAAATGTATCTCTTAATTATAATCTTGATGCACTATTGATGTTATTATGGTCCAGACTTTATGAGTATCATGTGACTGTCTAATTAGAAAGTATTTTGATTGTTTATATTTCCTACATTGTCTTATTATCTGTTCAATAAATGTTTCATTTTCTATGATTTTTATGAATTTGTTTTAAATTAAGTTCTTACATAAATTTTTTTTACTAAGAACTTATAATTTTACAATAACATTTCTCTAATGTTTTCAGACTATTATTCATTAAACTGGCATTAAAAATTTAAAAATTATTATGGCATTTTTATAACACATTTAAATTAAAATTAAAATAGCCAGCATTTATAATATTTTGAATCAGTATAAATAAATATCAAATAGATACAATTATTTAAAAGAAAATTGGTGAAAATTAAAAAAGAAACATCAATATCTCTAAACATTAATGAAATTTGGCCCAAGTAGAATGAGTTATATATATATTGATAAAACAATTAGATTTAGATGAAAAAAGATTTTTATAGAACATCTATAAAAATCTATAAATTATAATACTAGCTAATTTTTTATATTAGCTAAAATAAACTACTCTGCCAAATACCACATCATGTAATGAATGTAAGTGACTTTTATCTTATGTGTATGATAAAAACTTGATTTTGGCAAATTTTTAAAATGNCCACAGACAGTATTGGAAAACAGCACACACAAAATGTACTACAACAGAGCCATAATCACAGATAAAACAATTTACCACAACAGACCGGACATCACACTCATTGACAAATACAATAAAATCACATGCATTATAGACATAGCCATTCCAAACACTCAGGCCAAGACTCAACTAGCGTAAAAACAGGCGTAGAAACCTTCGCCGTAAAAACTTTTAATCACATGACCTATTTGCATTTGTGTCAGAATTGCAGTGGAGGTCCGGCTAGTGAAGTTTTCATGGCGATGGTACTATCGAAGTTATAAAGACAATGATTATATTTTACAAGTTTTTTCTGTACTATAATTACAAATGTAGTAAAAATAATATCTTTACTTTCATATATTAACTTTTATTATCGTATTATTAATTAAGATAATATACAGCACTTATTAAGCTTAGCTTTTTTCATTATATACTCCTCTAAATTGTAGGATTTTCCTTTGGCCGTCCGTATCACATGATTTAGGCATCCTTTATTATAATCGGGATACTTCTTGTCGTAGATACATGAATACTTTTGGATGTTTTCGATAAATCTTTCCAGATCTATTCTAGAGTAGCCACGAGGGAACGAACACAAAAGCTCGTTTTCCGCCATTTTCGCACTGCATCACAATGACCTAGATTTAACTGACTTTTGATTGGTGGATGGCTGTATTCGCGTCCAAAGTTGAACACTGCTCAACTCACTTTTACACTGCTTTTACGACCTGCTCAAGCGTAAAATATCAGGGCCACGTGATTAAAAGCTTTTACAGCGAGGGGTTTTTACACTACTGGAGTCTTGACTTCACAATGTACAAAACACATGCACTGAAAAAATTATCAAGTACACAGAACTTGCCCAGGAAATAAGGCATCTGTTGAGGATGGATAAGGTGCTTTTTGTACATATCATCCTCTCCTCTACAAGTGTCATTCAACACACTATGCAAAAGCCTGGGAACATTACAATTGAATAGAAATACATACATCACACTACAGAAGGCCACTATATTGAATACATGCCATATTGTTAGGAAATTCCTGAATACAGACACACACACTGACACTTATTTAATTTTTGTCTTGTTTTGGTTGCTATGCCTTGACTCTGGTCTGGCATAGTACACTGCCACTGGTGTGAACCGAGAATAACCCACTAAACACAACGATAATAATGTTAACTTAATTCATGGTAACCTTACATCTCCCACAATCTTACATCAACAAACAGTGTTTTCATCCTCTCCGAGACTATCTTCAGGATATCGTTCCAAATACAACTTACAAACAGAGCATGTACGAAAACAGAAGCCGTAAATGCACCACAAGATTGTTTGGCTTTGAAAGATGAGAACAGTTGATGTTTTTGTCACATTTGACATCTCCAATGTCACTTCCAAAAATGTATCTCTTAATTATAATCTTGATGCACTATTGATGTTATTATGGTCCAGACTTTATGAGTATCATGTGACTGTCTAATTAGAAAGTATTTTGATTGTTTATATTTCCTACATTGTCTTATTATCTGTTCAATAAATGTTTCATTTTCTATGATTTTTATGAATTTGTTTTAAATTAAGTTCTTACATAAATTTTTTTTACTAAGAACTTATAATTTTACAATAACATTTCTCTAATGTTTTCAGACTATTATTCATTAAACTGGCATTAAAAATTTAAAAATTATTATGGCATTTTTATAACACATTTAAATTAAAATTAAAATAGCCAGCATTTATAATATTTTGAATCAGTATAAATAAATATCAAATAGATACAATTATTTAAAAGAAAATTGGTGAAAATTAAAAAAGAAACATCAATATCTCTAAACATTAATGAAATTTGGCCCAAGTAGAATGAGTTATATATATATTGATAAAACAATTAGATTTAGATGAAAAAAGATTTTTATAGAACATCTATAAAAATCTATAAATTATAATACTAGCTAATTTTTTATATTAGCTAAAATAAACTACTCTGCCAAATACCACATCATGTAATGAATGTAAGTGACTTTTATCTTATGTGTATGATAAAAACTTGATTTTGGCAAATTTTTAAAATGATGTAAGTAAAGTGACCTTGAATGAGTAAAGTTTGCCACTAGTATTTTAAGAACAGTACCACTGATGATATAGGTTTTTGATGGCAACTTTCAAAATGAGAGATATAAGTAGTATTCGTTTATGTGACATTTTTACTTTCATTCTAGCAATTTTGTGAGGGAATATCCAGTGTGGATTATACATGAGAAATTATGCTTTAAAACTACTAGCTTAAAAATCCTACTCTTTGGCTTACCTGAATAATAAGAGNGTCAAATATTGGTCCCTGGGCTAATTTTTTATATTAGCTAAAATAAACTACTCTGCCAAATACCACATCATGTAATGAATGTAAGTGACTTTTATCTTATGTGTATGATAAAAACTTGATTTTGGCAAATTTTTAAAATGATGTAAGTAAAGTGACCTTGAATGAGTAAAGTTTGCCACTAGTATTTTAAGAACAGTACCACTGATGATATAGGTTTTTGATGGCAACTTTCAAAATGAGAGATATAAGTAGTATTCGTTTATGTGACATTTTTACTTTCATTCTAGCAATTTTGTGAGGGAATATCCAGTGTGGATTATACATGAGAAATTATGCTTTAAAACTACTAGCTTAAAAATCCTACTCTTTGGCTTACCTGAATAATAAGAGATAAGTTCTTGTAGAGTTGCAAATGTTTTGCGAGTTGTGACATAAAATCCTCCATTATCTAATGCCTTAACTTTATAATGTTTAACATGATCTCCTTTCTGTGGTTCCCAGTCTCGAACAGAAAGTGAAAATGCTCCTGTATTGTAAAGAATATAATTAAACTGTTTAAAATATTCATTAAAATTTTCATAAAAGTTTCTTAATAATTATTAGTACAACTAAAATTTTCCTCAGCAATATAATTACTTACTACATCGTCCAAAACGTTCAGCTGCACAGAATTAAATAAGTATATATTTTTAAAGTAAGCTTGAGTTTTAAACTTTTATATCTCTTAAAATTACACTATTTAAAAAATTTGTCTATTAAATTTCATTGTAGTTTCTAAAATTTGTATTAATTACCTGATGTTTGTTCGCTGTTTCTTATCAGAAAGGTACCTCTGGGATTTGATGGAAGTAACAGCATTTTCTCAGCTTCTTTTCTGGATACTCGACCACAAAACCAGCTAAAAATATAACAAATTTATAGATCTATAACACATGTTCTGATAAACACAAATTGTTATCTTTTTATAAAATTTTGAAAAAAAAAAAAAAAGTAGTTAACTCACTCTTCACTTTCAACGGTTTTCTCGGGTGCAACATAATTTCGTGGAATGTAACCAGTCTGTTGATTGAATAGGAGACGAGCATGCCACCAATCGGGGTCACTAAAAAATTGTAGAATTATATTTTATTTTTATTCTTTATTAATATTTACATTTAATACAAACATACATACATACATATAATAATTACTTTATTACAAAGAATATTAAAAAGCAGTAACTCAAGTAAAAACAAGTATAAAAAATATATATATAAAATACTTAGCTTAAAATCATCATGATGTTTTTGTTATGAATAAACTATATCAGGAATAAGAAAGAAGGCAAAGCCTCCTAGTTTAAATATTAAGCTGTAAGATGATACTGTATTAGTCAATTATATATTTTTAAAAGTAATATCCCTTTAAGAGATATTTTTAAAAATATGTAAGTCTAAGATTAAGATTAAGATGTTTATATATAGGGAAATATGTGAATGTGGATATATAGGGAATCCACTTAAATCTATGTGAAGGAATAAGAGAGATTTTTAATGCGTGAAATATCTTTTCAGTTTGAACTAAACTAATCCCAACTTAACATCATTCAATTTGCAGTTAATTCTGTCATTTATGAAATTGTTTGTGGAACAGTATTTGTTGAATTTTTTACCAAAAATTCACAGACAACAAGAGTATTGTGAGCAGATGCATTTTCATGATGTAAAGTCCATGTGTTTTCTTGCCACAAATCAGGTTATTTTCTAAACATTGCTTCATGTAAACAAAACAAAATGCTCAAATAATGTTCTTTGTTTACAGTTTGGCCAGTCAAAAGGAATTTTTGATGCACAATACCATGGCAATCGAAATAAACAGTCAATGTGACCTTGATTTTTTATGCAGTCTTTTCAGTCTTTCTTTGCCTTTCAAGTGCATTCATGCAATTGTTAAGCTGTTTTGGTGTCAAAAGTGTAGATCCATGTTTTATCACCTATTACAGATGATGAAACATGTAATGATGCATTTTAAAAATGATTTGTGTCAAGAATGCATTTCCTCTGCCACTTAAATACACTGTATTTTTGGAAAAAATTTAATGTTTTTAGGACAACTCAAGAAATGATGCACTGCAAGCCCAAATAATCTTTCAAAATTGTTTTACATGATCTGAACAATACTGGAACATGTTTGATAATGTCCCTAATTGTTAAATGACAATCAGTGAGCACCATATCTCAGACTTGAACTTCATGGTGTTCATCAGTTGAAGTGGATGGTCTATCAGAGCATGGTTCATCTTCAATGCATTTTCTGTCTTCCTTAAACATCTTGCACTCCTCAGAAACTCTTGTTTTTGATGGACTATCACCACCAAGGGCTTTATGCAACATTTTCATAGCAGTAATTGTTTTGCAAAAACAAAATTTAATACATTTCTTTGCTAAATTATACTTATTATTTTGAAAAACTGCCAGCACAAAAATTCTTTTAACACATAACAAGTGTCTATTTGCAAACGAAAACAGATGATGACATACAGATTGCTGCTAAATGTTAATGAAAGTCATACCAAACAATGAAAAAATCAACAACAGTGCCTTCTTGCATGTGGGCAGTTTAAATAAACCATTCCTGATACTTTTTGATCACAGTAGTATGGTTGTTTTTATTGACAATTTAGTATTTGTAATTTTTTAGAACTCAAGTGGTAACTAAAAAAAAGCAGAACAGAACCTGAAATGCATATTGTCTGAACTGTAACCATAGAAAATAAAATAAATTTGTAAGTTTTCCATTGTTAAATTAAAATGTGGATGTAATGTCTAGCATCATAATTCAACTATTAAGATGGAAACAATAATATTATTGAAAGTAAAAGAAGACTGCAAGAAGCTCAGGTTAGAGATAAGCCACTTTCTCAATTGTGGGAAGCTACCAAACAAGGGAAAAATGGACTGTTAATTGAGAATGAGTTATTATATTGCCAGGATCAATGGTCTGACAGGAAACATAAGCAGGTCATGCTACCACTAGAATGCAGAATGCAAGTGTTATGGTTGGCCCATCAAACTCTGTGGAAAAGACATCTAGATAGTCGGAAGACTGAAAACCAAACTCGCAAAGAAGACTGCAAGTTGAATTAAGAAATATTGTCAGAGCTGTTGTAAGTGCCAGGTACAGGTAACACCATGCATAATAAACAGGATCCCAGAGGGCCAAGCTCATCCAGTGGGCATAACTCTACAAAATTAGACCTTCCTCATCTGTATATTTATTTGCTAACAACTATTTTAAAATTCTCCCTTACCAACAACTTTCCCATGTAATATTTGACAAAATATTATTACTATTGTATTGACTAAATTACCCTAGACATAATCCTTAAATGACCATTCTTTAATTCACCAAATTGTAGATGCCATTATTGATTGGGAATTGATGATGTAAGCAACAATAGGCACAGGGTAAAGCTATCAGTTTTTTTTAATGGAGATTAATTTTGAATGGAAGGTATGGGTTTTTTGCCCCTTTTAACAAAATAAACTCCCCAAAATAATTAAAAATCTCAAAATATAATGACCCCAGAAAATAAAATAATCTTTGGACTCCATTCATCATACTGTCTGGTCCTCATTCTTGAAAATAAAAAGCTATTAATGAAAAATTTCCCAGATCTATCTACTTCTAATTATGCTTGTTAATTTAAATTACAGTGGCTTTCCAATATTGCTCATCTTTATCCTCATTCCTTCAAAGACATAATTGCCTATTTTGATAGAATTCTCAACTATAAATATTTTAATGGCTTTACCTGCCTTTTTAAGTTAATTTATGCATTCCAAATTTTAACTTGGATAATTCCTCCTGCTTTTACCTCCCATTTTATTTTCTCAAAAAAGCTTTTATTCTTACAAATTTAGCATCTCTGTCAGAAATTTCATGGACTACTGCACCAGGATTTTTATGTATTTAAATGCATTTGTAACAAAACATTACATGTATTTTAATCCTTTTTCTTCTTTTTATATTATACTTATTTGTTGTTTTATTCTTTTTTATCTCATTTTTATCTTTGCATCTTTTTTTTTTTTGAAGCTTCTTCGTTATTTGCTAGAGGAGAAGCTTATTTTGTCCAGATGGCTTTCACCTAATAAATATTTTGTAATAATGCATATTAAAATTATATGTATGATTTTTTGATTAGTGTTAAAAAAATGCAGCTTAGGAAAATGACAAATTTTAATTTCTATTTTTGGATTGCACACTGTTTCAATTGCAGTGAAATGTGACACATGATACAACATAATACAACATGCTGAAGAATAACCTACAAGTATCTCTTTTATGTAAAATAAACTTACCTGTCATCTAATATAATAAGACGGTCACCTTTTCTGAAACTAAGATCTCCGTCATCTCGAGCATTGTAAGTGTACAAAGCAACTACGATTTTACCTACCAATTCAAAATAATGAAAATTAAATCATCTTTACTTTTGCATTAACATTATAAGAAAAAAAATTAAAATAATAATATTGCATTTTATTTTACCTGCTCTATTTAATTCCTGAATAGATGAATTAACAGCATTACTTTGGCAGAGGGCATTGGTTGGAGATTTTGTATATCTATCTTGAGAATTTGTATGGGCTTTAAGGACATTATTGCCACTGTTGTTGCTTGGATGAATATGATCATCAGTAGGTATGTCAATAGTGTCTTTACTAGTTGTAGGTGGGATGTAAGAAGTACTACTTGATCTCGAAAGGCAGTTTCCCATAATTATTCTGAATTTCTAAAAAAAATTTTAATTCAATAATTTCAATTCTATAAATAACTTTGTAATTTTTCTTATTTAAAAAATGTTTAAATAATAACAATAATGGAAATTTATTTCTTCCTTTTCAAATACAATCAGTAAAGTCCTTCCTGGCCAGAGATTACTGCACGCCTCAAAACAGACCAAAATTTCATTTTGAACTTTCTTTGGTTCACTTCTGAATGTAAAAAAATAATTCCATTCATAAAACTATTTTAAGTGCATTCTTCATGACTGTCATTAAGCTCAATGGAAGAAAATTTGTAGACCTACAAATATCAGGCCAGCTTTGAGCACCTCCCATTTGATAAATGACTTCCAGTTTATCTTCTATGACTTAGACATTTGGATTTACTAATTTCTTTTTATTTGGCACATTCATCTGTTGTTTTTCTATTTTTACTATTACACAATAACTTCATTTTAAAATGGTAAAATACCATGCAAGCAGTAAAATAAAGAAAAAACCAACATTGCTTAATATCACTATTAAAGCAAAGCACTACCACCAGGTATGAAATAAGATACTTGCATTTAACATTTCACAAAAAATATTCTACATATTGTGGAAAAAATTTTAAACTAGCACTATTGTCAATTGGTATAAATCAAACCAGAATAAAATGAGGGCAGCCTATATATTAAACAACTGGTGTATATTTAAAAACATAAAAAATATACACTGAAGACTTATACAAAAATAAAAACTTTCAAAGTCTTAAACATCCTTTCACAATCACTGGAACGCAATCAACGTTGGCAGAATCAACCTTCTATTATAGGCTATTCCCCACCGATATTTATGTAAATTGTTTAAAAGTTACATGACAGAACTTGTGAAAAATTTACATAAATATAGAAGGTTTTTCTTTTTGTATAAGTCTTTAATGTGTAGTTTTTATGTTTTCAAATATATATTTTATCCTGGATTTTTAGTTTTTTTTCTTTACAATGGAAAAAATTGATGTATACTTTCTGAAAAATATCCCAGTGTTTATACCTTGAATCAACACATGCATTTAACTAATAAACCATCTGATAAAAGGATAATGTAAATACATTGATATGTTTATTATTATTGCCCCTTTCATGTCTATTTACTGTGGCTGTTTCATTTCATTGGTTTATAATTATATTAATCATATAATATTAGGTTTTAATTATTGTCTATGACACAATACTCATTTTATTGAAATTAATAATTACAGGTATCTCTTGATTAACGTGATTAATTAATCCCTCAATGCTACTGCATATATCCAAATTGTATTAATCAAATACAGTGGTACCTCTGTACTCGACTGAACAATCACAACTAATTATGTGCCGGGTTGTTAAAAATGTATATCCATGGATACGGATACAGATACAGATCATTAGTGTCTAGATCTGCGGATACGGATACGGATCTCAACTTTTGTACTCAGTTGGCACCGGTGCTTGTGACCTTGGACCGATAGTTGATGCTTTGCGTTAGTAACACGATGTGTTTTGACTTGCACTGAGCGTGTTTTTGTTTATAGTTTAGTGTGACAAGGTATAGCATAGATTACGTTTGTATCTTTGGAGAGTGTTGAGTTAAATTAAAATAAAAACAATGTCAACAAAAAAGTTTAGTAGTGTAATATGGAAATATTTTACGATAGTAAATGAATTTTGCATGATAAAATTTTTGCAATATGAATGTGCCAAATATGCGATTTTAAGAAATAAAAAGTCATTTGAATTGAAGTTATTAGTATTTTATTGCTACCTATCTTTAAAATTTCATATAAGTAATGAAATTCATTAAGATAAAAGATCCGTTAAAGATCCGCTAAAAAGTAACAGATATGGATCTTTTTTTTCCCTCGGATATCCATGGATACGGATACCCAGCACATCACTAATCACAACCCACTAGAACAAATTTTCAGTTAACAATAAATATTTTTATTTTGTCATCCATAAAAAAGTTTTCTGTGATAAAAATGAGTAACAAATTTACAAATAAAATGAAACCTTAGAGCTGCCTATCTTCGTCAGACTAAAGTATACTTGATCCAGTTTGTTTTTTTTTTTCATTTAACGCATGCAGAACACAATCATCATGACAATGACACACTACAATTTGCTGCAAGTTTACAAGTTGTTATTTGTGAATTTTTAACAATTTCTTCCTGAAATTTCTCTTCATCAAACACCTTTTGGGTGCCCTATACATTTTGTATCCCTTAGTTCAAAATTTCCCAAACAAAACTTTTAAAACCACATTTGACATGTCTGATGTTTAAGAGCATCTTTCTCCTACACACTATGAATATTTTTTGCTGTCTGTATAGCATTATATTCTTTGTGAAACTTTAAACATACATAATATGCCTTAGGTGCATTTTATCTGCAGACCAACCAGAAAAGATTTCTAGATTTCAATCTAGAAATCCTCTCTGGTTGGTTCCTGATCAGTATAACATAGTTATAGAATGGCAATCCCTCTGGAATAATTTATCCTTTCCCAATAAAGATTTGGTGAAGGATCCTGCAGCCAGACTTCCTGGTTTCAACTTGCCACACTATACCTGGTCTACGATTAATAGAATCCAGACCTCAGTTGATAGATGAAACTTTTTGCTTAACAAATAGAATATGTCCAGAGTTGCATGCTGTGATTGCAGTTGGATTCAAATTATTAAGCATATAGTTAAAGACTACCATCGGCGATCCTTTGGCGGTGACTTCCTGGATATCACCCAATGTAATAGAGAAGCACTGGAATGGATAGACTGCCTGGACAATAATCTTTTGCTGTTCATTTTTGTGTTCACTTGTTCCATTTTTGTGCTGTATTGACTACCATACACAATATACATATTGTGTGAATAAAATCTAAATGTCTGCAGGTATATATGCATATATACCTGCATATATATATATATATATATATATGTCTGCAGACATTTAGATTTGATTCTATGCAAACAAAATGTAAAGTAAAAAAGTTTTAAAATAAGTTTCTAAACAAAGAAAACAATCTCACATTAGCAGCAGTAGTGTGTTAAATTTCATAACTATCGTAAGTAAATTACATATCTATGTTAAGTAAAGACAGCTGTTAAAGATGCATTAATTAAAATCTCTGCTGCATATATAAACAAATTGTTTCAATTAATTTCAAGCATTAATCAAGGAATACCTATATAATAAATTCCTCACCTTTCTGTTTTAGATTTGTAAATGTAATTTTACAAAAGGTGTTCAGTCTCAAGCTATTTTTCCCAAGAGTCAAGACAAGAAAACTTTTGAATTTTCTTCAAAAATTTATCCTGGGAATCATTGGTGAGAAACCCTTCAGCACCTATTTTAAGTTTGGAAACAGCCAGAATTCTAGTTGTTTAGAATAACCCGAGCAAGGACCGCTTTGATAATACAAAGTTTCCAAAGCTGTCCTTGCTGAGTCCTTATTTATTTCTCATGTCAATACAATATTGCATTAGCACAATAAAAATTCTTTTTGGCCTCACTATGTGAGATGTATGATTTTAAGTAATGAGTTGTGACATAATAAAATCTGTACACATACAATTTTATTAAAAATGACAACAGAATCTTTACAAGCAACTAACACACAATCTGTGATGTCAGCTGATGAGCATACTTTCAACAAACACGCACTATAAAATAAAATTAAACAAACAAAAACAATAAAATAAAATAAAAATGTATATAATATTTTAAGTAAAATATTATACACATTTTTATTTTTATTTTATTATTATTATTTTATTTTATTTTTATAATATTTTAAGTAAAATAGAAGGACAACAACCACAAGGACAAGAAAATGGGCTAAATACTTGAAACTAACTATTAATACTAATCTTAATTTTAATAAGCAAGATGATTTTTTTTACCAATAGAGAGTGAAAGTTAGGGATAGAAAGACAAGTAAAAGAGAACAAAGGGGCACCCAAATTTTTTATTGGATCAAGTCCTTTACAAATAAAAATAGGAGCACATGTTCTGGAACTCTTTCTTCTGTCAAAAACCTGAATGGGGATGTCTTCTCTCAGAAGAACCTCCAAAAATCCACAATGTCCGACCAAATATTTAATCTCAGCTTCTCACACCACAAAATTCTCTCACCATGTAATCACCACCTTCCTGCTATATCGGGCCAATCATCAATTACCTTCTGCTCCTGTCCTAAAAGTGTCCCTTTGAGATTCTTTCTCCCAATTTTTAGCCAATCACGAAACTTGCTCTTACTTGAATAAAAGAGGGCTCTACACCAGACCCCATTGGCAAAGAAGAAAGACAGCTCTAAGATAATAGAAGGAAAAGGAAAAAAAAATACAGGAAAAGAAAAATTAATACTAACTTCAACAAATTATATCATACAGCCACAACTATACAAATGTCTCTTGAGTGCTCATAAGACTTGAATTTCAACATGTATTCAACCTTCTAATGCTAAGAATACTGTTAATGATCAATGCTTTGTACAGAATGAAGAAACAAAGTTCATATTTAACACAAAAACATCCTTGTTCAGATCATTCACAGAAGGATAGTTCTCTGTTATATAGAGTACTCCAATAAAGCAGTTGTTTTTGATTTATGATTAAGACTTTGGAGTTTTAAAGGATCAACTCTTATATCTATATACTGTATCTGCTACAGTACTCTTACAGGAGAAACACAAACATTAAAACTATTATAAAAGTCAAAGCCTTTATTTGGTTAAATGTTTTCCAGGACTTATCTGCCTCATTATCAAACACAATAAAGTTGGAATCACAGGTTCAAAAGTACAAATAGTATTTTTTTTTTTTTTTTCATTTAGAACTGAACTTCTGTTTGATTCAAAACATCTCAGTATAATAGCAATGGTTTTTAAAAGTAAATGTCACCAATTTTGTAAAATAAGAATAAAAATAAAAGTGAAATAAATAATAATAATAACAATAAAATAAAATATGGTAAAATAAGATGAAATAAACTAAAATTACACAATTACAACTACAATCTAAAAAATATTATAATACAGTCGATTCTGTTTAATTGGGACATTTTGGCCTAATTAAATGAACTAATAATAAAATATTAAAGACGTAGGTAAATAAATAAGTAGATAAAAAATAATAATTAAGGTACCTATTTTATTAAATCAAAATACAGAAAATATTTGTACTAAAAATTTGCCAGACTCATGACGATAGATAACTGATTTGTATCACACTAGTGTTGCCAAATATTAGTAGTGATGTACACAAAGGTTGACCGTCTAATCTGTTCCTGATTGAACTATCTTCCCTTTTTTCCTTATTAGTTAGAACATTTCCAGATTCATTCAAAAGTCACCTTATGGCCTTTCTTTGAGCACAATTTTTTTTTTTTACTTAGAGATGGGCAACTTTGATGGGAGCATCTGTAGAATCTACCAGCTCCGGATGCTGATTCCAACAATTGGATAGCTGCTGTCCAAGTCTAGATGTAATCATGTACACAACACCTTCCAAGGGAATTCTAACTGTCTTCCAACTCAGTCGAGAGATCTTGAAAAACTGTTTGGGGATCTTTGTCCCTTTGGTTTTAAGGGGATCATCCGGTCCAATCCAGAGCAGGGTCAGTAGCTCGCATTCAGGTCAGCATCAAACGAGGTCCCCATGTGATATATCCTGCTATGCTGACCCCCTCTGGAAAAACCAAACTGCCCGAGTGAAAGACAAAATTGTTTTGTCTCTGCCAACTGTTAGACCTATGTGACATTAGTGTACGTAGTGTCTACATATTTTTAGAAGATCCCTAAAATATATAAAAAATTGCTAAATTCCTTTTCTGCTACTGTCCCAATTAAGCAATTAAATTATGTATTAATTTATTAGTTTGGTTTCTGTACTTTGAAATTTGGCCCAATAAAGCTGCTGCCTCAATTAACCGGTGGTCCAATAAAATGGAATCAACTGTATTACATTTCGTCTCCAGTTACTTTAAATTGTTACATATATAAAGGCCATAAGCATGATAAGCATGGTGAATCAGCCCAAGAAAGAAAACAGATAAAAATTGGCCCAAAAGTCAGTATTGGCAAGTGATTAATTATTGCCCAACATTAAATCAAATTTTCCATGAATTTCAGTTACATATAAAAATGCAATTTTTGAATTTTTAAAAATATCAGTTTCTTTGCATCAAGTCACAAAGTAAAAAATTATGTCATTACTAAAAAAAATAAGACATACAAAATGGTACATATTAGAAAACTTTTGATGCAAAATTCAAATAAAAGATAATAAAGTATTCAAAAAAATTCTTTCACTAGTTCACAACAGGACAACAATTTTGAACACTTTTAGGAATCTTTATATTACCATGTACTATACTATAAATATTGCTAACTTCATTTGCCAAATGCAACATAGTTAAAAAAAATCTAAAAACAATTAATTAGAATTTAATCACATGATAACATCTAACCAGTCCAGTACTAGGAATGAATATTTTTACTTGATAGTTTTTCCTTGGTCTCTCAGTATTGAGAGATTATTGGTGCAGAAACACTATTAACTTTATTAATTATTATATTTATAAAATCAAATAAAACCATACAGAATTTATTTTTTAAATTAATTTTTTGCATGAAATTCAAATTTGAAAATAATTTTAAAATATTATTTTAAATTATTTAAGTAAATTAAAGCAAAGAAGAAATTTCTAAAAGTTTGAGGTGTGTGTGTGTGTGTGTGTGTGTGTGTAGTAGGTATTCCTCATACAACACGGTTTCATTCTAACACAGATTTGGAAATCCTCCATACAAAATTTCTCAATTTTTAAGTGTAACCTTCTTTATTCAATATTTTTTCTTTAGTCGAGTAAGCAACTGTGTTGTCTCAAATTTGCCCATGGATTTTAAAATATTGAAATTTTCAAATTATTTTGTTTTTCGTCAGGTTTACTTTAATGAAAACTGATAGGACATGAAAGAAAAAAATTGCACTGGCTTTCCGATCAACCAGGTGTTGTTGTTGCTTTCAGACTCTTAAGGTTGTCCCTGTGTTTTCTCTTTTTAGATTAACCTTTGTATTTAGTAAAGTTTATTTAAATGTTTTTAGGTAAAAATCTGGACCTAAAGAAGATTTGAAGAGAGAGAAGGATCAAAAATGTTAGTCCATTTTCTACAAAAAGGACTTATTAATTTAAACAAGGGTTCTAAAATACAGATGTGTTAGGTAAATGTTATTAAACATTTTTTTTAACTGTAGGTATTACTTACCTACGAATGATTACTTCATTCGTAAAAATGACGAACACGGTGGTATCTCGGTACTTGAACAATTCAGTAGTCAAACACAAATTCTGGAAAAAAGTCTCTTGGTACTTGAGAGAACAAACGCGACCTGCTAGAACAAATTTTCAATTAAAAACATATTTTTATTTTGTCATCCAAAAAATTTTTTATGATAAAAATTAAAAAAATATGAAAATGTTGTTGATATTACTGATCAAGATTAACAAAAAAGCTAAGATGACAACAATCCTTTGTAAAAAGAAACACTTTCATTTAACTAAAATTAATATTAACATGTAATATAATACTTTTAATTGTAATTATTAATTAATTATTAATTGAAAATAAATTATTGATTGCTTTAATAAACATATTTCTCTTAGTAATGAAAAAGAATAGTATACTTTTGCTAACTTCTGAAATGTAACCTTACATTTCAGATGCATTAGTCCTTGTTTTATACAGCACAAATTTGCATAACATTGCACTTGTTTGGAATGTAACTACTATGTTATATGAGGGATATCTGTATATCAGGTGTGTCAAACTCATCTAAACAAAAGGCCATTAATGCAACTGATAAGATTCACACAGGCCATGTCACATTTACAAATTTTCTTAAAATTATAATTTGAAATGAGAATGCAAGAATATAGATAGGGCAATTAAAACACATTATGTAGTTCAATAAATTCAACTCAACAATATATAATTGCTACAATATTGCTTTTATTTAAACATTTATTTTATTTCATATACATACCGTATTTACTCGGATATAAGACAATCTTGCATATAGAATGAGGTGTGATTTTAAAGATCAAAATAAAAAAAATTAGATTTATTAATACAATTTTAATTTTATTTTGTTTAATCACAAATAAAATACCAAGTGCACGTAAATGCACATATTGTCCCGCAAAAATTACTGGCATTTTAAACTTCAAGTAAAAATCTTGTAAAATCGACAACATAATTTGTTCATGTAAAGCTGGACAATTATTGGGAACCTTTTTTGCCAATTCTTAACAGTCGAATTCATTCCTCGTCAATTACACTTATGAGTTTCTCCGAATTATGATTTCCAAATAATCATCTGTTTTTACATGGGAATGAATTAAAACTTATATCGTGTAATTTTGGAATTCAATTCAAAAGCTTTGCTTTTCCTATTGCTATTCATCTTTACTCTTGATGATATACAAGAATGATTCAAACAACCCAGATAAAATACTTTTGTTTTTAAACACCAGAAGGTGAGAATCTGGTGAAAAATGTGAATACACAGTTTACAAAAATTATTGCAAAAACGAAATGAATTCTTCACTTGTGCATATAGGACGACCTAGGTTATTGAAGCAGTGAAAAATTAATAAAAATCTTGTCTTATATGCGAGTAAATATGGTCTTCATAAAATTAATTGTTTTCATCGGAAACTCGACAGCATTATCTTCCTCCTACTAGTTTTCCAATATCTGGATTCAAAGACTGAGAACAAAACCTTCATTATGGCAGATAGATGTTTATCAGTTAATCTTGATCTGTAAGCTGTTTTATTTAATTTTAGAGCATCGCGGCCACAGGCCACAAAAATCACATCGGGGGCTGCATGTGGCCTGCGGGTCACCAGTTTGACATCCCTGCTGTATATATATACACACACATTACACTATTATATGTTACAAAAAAGAAAAAAATTCATTATTTTAGTGCAATATAGTTAAAAGATAAAATATCAGATACATCAATAAAAATGCTTCTAATTGGCAACATTTTCAGCATAATATTGTTGGACAATAATGGCAAGTTATTTGTTTTAATTATCTTGCATGTTACAATATGAACACAATAATGATTATACTGTTGTATTAATTTTTGGCACAAAATTCAAATGTGTAAATAATCTAATAATATTGTTTGACAATATTTAAATAGATCAATACAAAGAAACATGTTTCACCATTTTTGAAAATCTTTATATTACAGTATTATATACTACAAAAAATTATCAACTCAATTGCATGGTGGATAATACATGCTTACTGCTTCTCATGTGGCTAGTTATTAACTGTCAACTGTGTTTGTAGCAACACAACCCCAAAATAGATAATTTTATCAGAATTTCATCAAAAAGTTTTTACCATAATAATTCAAGTCATAACAATTTTGATAGTTACAATACAGAACACTGAAAATGAGAGTGACTTGGAATCAAGTGAATCAATCTAATATATGATGGATATTGAAGATGAATTACATGATGTGAATGACACTAATCATGATAATACTATTTCTTCAAAGGATTATGGAAATCTATCAGTAATAACTCAGCTGTACAGCAACAGGTTTTTCTTCAAATGTTCAGTGAAGAAGTGAAAAACAAATTTATGTGCAAATGATCACCCAATAAAGTTTTACAAACTGTTTTTAACTCACAAAATTATTGAACATATAACAGATCAAATAAACATTTATGTTACACAATTTTTGGCAGCAAAAATAATCAGTAGACGTAGTCAACAAAATCAATGGAAAGATACCAATACACAGGAAATGAGAAAATTCCTTGGATTTCTTCTGTGGATGAGGTTAGTTATATATCCAAAGTGATTACTGGAGTACGAAGCACAAGTATAGAAATTATACTGCACTACAAACCATGCTGTGTAACAGATTTAAAATATTGCTAAACATGTGGCATTTTTTTAAACAACAAAGCTCATGGTGACCAATTATATAAAATAAATTCTGTAAATAATATCCTAAAAAACAAACTTGAAGATCTTTACCAATGTTATAATATACTTGGTGAATTTTTATGCATAGATGAGACAATGATCCTTTTAAAGGACAATTACTTTTTCATCAGTATATTCCAGGGAAACATCATAAATATGATGTTAAATTGTTCAAAATTTGTGATTCTACTGGATATACTTGAAATTTATCAAGGTAAAAATGAAAAAAACACAGGAAAATTTGTCCTTATCAACCTACATTTTACTCAAGCTAGTCAAAAAGTATTTTTGCAAAGGTCATATATTCATTACAGGTAATTACTATATATTGATAGAACTGGCAGAACATTTATTACACAGAAATACCCATCTTATAGGGACATTGAGAAAAAATAGGAAATGCATTCCAAAGGAGATGGTAAACAAAAAGTTATCTAAAATCTAAATTATTGGAATAAATAATGAGAAGGGAATAACTGTAGTTAAATGGAAAGATAAATGGGATGTCCTTACGTTGTCCATAAAATATAACAACAGAAATAACTTCTACAGAAATAAAGAAGAAATTTTAAAACCTAAAATAGTTCAAGACTACAATACCAGAACAGCAGCTATTGACTTATCTGATCAATATTCCAGTTACACCAATGCAATGCAAGTGTAAAATGGTATCACAAAGTTACAATGGAGCTAATTTTTGGTTGTATTTACAATAAGATATCCAAAAATAAATTATCCATTATTGCATTCAAAGAGTTTTTAGCAGAGAGCTAGCTTATTTGATATTGGAGAAAATAATGAACCTGTGGCAAAAAATCCCAAAAACATATACTGGAAGAAAGTAGAGATGTTGATCAAAGAAATAGAAAAGTAATAAAATGTTGTGTAACCTGCAATACTAAAATTTGAAAGCAACTGAAAAGTCATGAAGCAGATAAAGCAAATTTAACACTGCACATTACTACATATTGCTTACAGTACCCAGAAAAACCTGCAATGTGTACAAAGTGTTTTGTAAAATTATGAATAAATATTACCTACATATGTATAATTTTCATACTCATTAGCTACTTTCTTTTATTATTCCAAATAAGTATTATTTTACATAAATTTATTTTGATTTGTTTTGCAATACTGTTTATTTTAAATATGTAATAAAATAAAAGAAATAAATTAGTTTTCTACATTGTCTTTACTGTTTTTAACTTTTTACTATTGAAAACACACAGCTAATAAAATTTTTGATTTGATATAGGCCATTACGATGGTCCTTATTTAATTAATATTTTGAAATTATGGAAAATGTATTTTATTTGAATTATCTGGCATATCACAATATAAATATAATAATAAAGTTAAGTTTCTCTGCACCAATAACCCCACATTAATATGAGATCAAGAAAAACTATCAAGTAAAAGTATTCATTCCTAGTACATATTGGCTAGATGTTATCATGTGATTAAAATTTTTAACATGATTCAAAATTAAATTTGAAATTTAGTAACTAATTCATGGATAAAACATTTAATTTGAGTAATTAAACAAATTTAAAAAATGCCTACAAATTTTACTTTATTTAACTTTTTGTGCTCATTTATGATTTTTCAGATACATATCTGGACATGTGCTACACTCTTAAAAACATGGTTACATAAAAGAATTAGAGAAAGCACTCTAAAATATTACCTGAAGTTTGAAAGATCAAAGTTCAAATAATAGAACCTAAAGCAAACAGCTGAAAACATTTGTAAATTCGTACAACAATCTGCTGGAAACATGAGTAAGGTGTGTATATTACAATTAATAACTAAAACTTTTGAATTTCAATGTAATATATATAAGCTTTTGTTATTCTTAGTTATTCAATCACAATGTTAACTGTATATACTCCACTGCTTCCACAATACAATATTCTTACACTTCCTAAATTTTTAAATTCTTTTAGAAATATGTACCCTCTAAAACTAAATTTTAAGTGATTTTAACCTCACAAATATTCAATAGCCTTCCTTCTTACTTTCAATCCAAGTATTCTGAACAATTTCATCTAAATAAATTTACAGTATTATTTTTTTTTTTGATTTAAAACAATTTATGGCTTTTCCAACAAACGGTAAATATTTCTTGAATCAAGGTTGCTTGTTGTTCTCTATTATATGTGTTTGGTTAGCACAATGTTGCTGTTGAGAACGTATCATACAGGAACACTTTAAGAGGAAAAAGGGTTGCTTTATTGACTTGGACGGATAGGACTTATCCGTCCAGGTAAATATTTCCTCAATCTAGTTTTTACCTTAATGCCCTTACCACCATTTACCCAATGAATGGTTTTAAATTCAACCATTCTACTCTTTTACTAGATCTCACTTTTA